AAATTCTAATATTGACTCTGGAAAGAGGAAAAGTTGGCAAAATTGACAGCTACAGTTGAGTACAGAGAGAAGGGCTCAGGATGCTTTACATATGTTGGAACTGAATGTAAAGTCATGCAAAGGGGCAGAGTTATCTGGTTATATGTTTCCATAAGATGGAAATGTCACTGATAATTAGGCTATCGATAGTTCTACGACACCATATTTTTAGGCCTCAAGAAAGGAGATATAGTAGGTTTGGGAACTGTGTGATAAGAGTCAAAATGAAATCTGTGACATTTAAAGACTTCAGTGTTTCAAAGGCTCAATCCTTTGATAAGTCGGAAAAAGACTGTGAATCTTCCTGCACTGTACTTTCAAAGTTGATCCTTCCTCTCTGACGTCTCTAAATGATTAATGGAGTTTTTGAGAGGAAACGGGGAATTTCTCCTCAAAAGCTCTGTTTATGTCATTTACAGGTGCAATGAAGGAAGGGGGAGAGGGAGGGCAGGCCGGCACTGCCATCCCTCCTTTGTTGGCTGCTTGCACCTATAGAGGCAGAGTCGCTGTGGAGACTTCTCTTGAGATTGTGAATGGCGATCTTAGAAGCAGTCTCCACAGCCCCACATTTGCAAAGATCCAGACCTTACTGAAATGTTTGGACCTTTGGAGTTATTTTAATTTGGAATATAGATTTCTAGGTTTATTCCATGTTAATGTGCATTATCATAAGGTATTGTTTGGATGCCTCATGATAATGCACCCCCTATACCACATTTTAGTGAAGGATAGATGGGGCCTGAGTTGAATAGGGATTACTTCTAGGATAGTGCCTATAGGACTGAAGATATATGGGACATATGATTTTATAGAGACCTACTCAAAAATATTCTTTAGTGTGTTTAATAATACTTATTCCCTGGAAAGTGGTTTATAGTGTTTGCTCCTAAACGATATTACTCAAAAGTACATTAAAGACAAGCAAAGATTCAGATTCCAAATTTTGTATATAACCAGAGTGCAAAGAAAAGAATTGCTTCTGGACCCTCCCTGGCTTCTGTAGTTTTGCTTCTATTCCAATCAATGCTTTTGGGGAAAAGAAACATACATGGAAAAAGAAAAGAAGCCGTAGCAACAATATAATTCATTGCCAGTGTGCCCCAGAGCAAAAAAGAAATGACAGCTCCTGGATTTCTTCTTTGGGAAAAGGTATAAGTGTTGTCGCAGCAGCTGCAACAAAGATGTGTGAGACCACAGGAAGAAGGAGGAGAGCACTAAGCTTAGGCCCATGACATCCCATACCACAGGCTCCAGTCACTAGACTGCAGGCATACAATTGGAGAGCCAGAACCCATAAGAGGGGGAAAGAGGCAAGCAAAGAAGTCCAGGCCTTATGGGTGCAGGGAGTGTAGCATAGCCTAGGCAACCTGGTGAAACTTCACTTCCAAGCAATCCCAAGAATACAAGAGACTCCCTTTAATTGTGGGGAAGTGAAGAAAGATGTTTTTCCCAGGTTTTCTTTTTCAGCCAACAGCTAGGTTACCTTGGAGTATGAGGGTGACAATTCTGGCTGGGTAGAAGTTTGAGTAGAAGGATTGGTTGGAGCCATTTGATTTGATGGGGCACATTTAAAAGATGGCTGCCTTTCCAAGAAAGAAAACTCGACCACCTTTAAACTCACTTCCATAAAATCCAATGACTCTAAACACTCCTTCTATTCCAACTTATGTCCTGTCTCTCACCCAGCTCTCTTCACCACTCTCTTACTTCCACCTTTTAAATCTCCTTTTGTTAATCTATGACCAAACAAGAATTTGAATTTATATTACTATTTCATGTCCAGCACTACAAACATTATTCTACTGGTTCTTTCAGAAGAATAGTTACTGTAAGGAATGATAGCAAGGATAAATAAAATGGAATGGTTACTGTACTGAATTTGCATACACAGGATGCATAGTATGAATAATCATAATGCTTTGCATTATATGAAAATTAGCTACCAGGATTTGAGGAATATGGCAAATCTGCACTTATTCCACACTGAGCCATTGTAATCAGAACTGAAATTGGCTTTGAAAGCCACAGATTTCCTGCATCCAAAGTCACATTAATATAAATAAGCATTTCTACCATCCTCCGTGTGTTCAACGAATCAGGTTATTTTTGGCCAGACCACTACATCAGATACATTGTTCTTTTCCTTCCGAGGATGCTTATCAATAAGAGCCAATAGCCTCTCCTGTTTTTCTGTCATTGTTACTGCCCATCTGAAGTCAAAATTAGAGCTATGGGCCTCAGAAAAGAGGATCCGTCCCTGGTGAGCATTATACTAACATCCTGAAGTTTCAGATCAGAGAACACACACCACAGGTGAAGACAAGCAGCAGAGGTTTATTCAATCAGGCCAGAGAGGATGCATGTACACAGGCCCGTAGGCCAGGATTTCGTTTTTTTTGGGGGGGGGCTAAAATATTTTCAGGGGGGGTTCGGGGGGCTGAGTTTCGGGGGGGGCTGAGTCTGAGTGAAAGAGGGTCTAGCCTAGCAAACCTTTTGTATCATTACCCCAATACCCCCATGCATATGGGATATATTGAGTATGGTGATCAGATCATGATATGAATAAACATAACAGTTTCAAATAATGCACCAGTAAGGCCTTTTCGCGAACCACCATGAGAATTTTGGGGGGGGGGGCCTGAAGCCCCTCAAGCCCCCCCCCCCCCGCTACATACTTGCATCTACAGCTGATGCCAAAATGTACAAGCCTAAACATGAATACAGACAGCATGGATTTTTAAGCAATTTCAGTTTCTATTCAAGCTGACCACTCCCTCCCCAGATTGGCTGAGAGGAGGGACCAGCCTGGGCTTGCTTTCTGATTGGCTGGGCTCCACTGACGTCACTGGTTCTAGCTGGGAGGGAATGGTCATGGTTGATTTCTGGCAGCCTAATCAGCTGTGGGGGGTGCCCTTCTGGGAGGGGATGACCCAGGAAATTCCTGTGACCATTTTAGGATGGATTAGGGGGGTTTCTGACTAGCACAATAGTCCAGTTTTGGATTATAAAGATGGGATTATGATAATCAAGTGTTTGGAGTCTTTGAAACACAGGGCGATGATCTCCATCATCAGGGTCCAGACTTGGATGTATATTGTGAGTCCTTGTCTTTATAGTTAGTGATATCTTAGCTCCAGGGGGCTGATGATCTGTACACACACCTGCAAAGCGTACATCCTTATTGTCCATGCACAATGGTGAGGCGATCTGCTGGGGTTGGGAACTCCCCCAGAGCACAGCTGGACATTCCTGTACTAACGTAGTCCCTTGCCAGATCAGGCAGAGGTGATGATCTCCTGTGCTTGTCAGGATACATTCCATATACTTTATATAGAACAGACAGAGAGGCAAGGATATAAAGTAGACATAAGAAAATGTAGATACATTTTATTAAGGGTTGAAACAATATCTAAGGGGTCAGGAGCTGCTGTGAGTTGCCTGCTGGCATTCTTCTAGATCAAAACAGTGATATAGCAGCAAAAATGGGGAAAAATATAAACATTCATATTAATGTCCTCTTGCTCTTGAGGAAACTATAAATCGTGGAGGGGTGGGTGTTTGCCATGCTTGACAACACATCCACGCTCAAATTGGATAGCTTTCCTGCCATGTTCCATCATCCAGGAGAATTCAACTCCAGAAATGACAGGGTTATAATCAAATAAATACATTTAAAAACATAAATCCAATTAAAAGCACCAATGAAACACTGAGTAACAGAGGTTGCTGGTGATAGCAACTGATTGATCCCCTTCCCACCCCTCATGCACCCCTCATTCCAGCATATGTGGGAGAATGATTGTTCAATAAACTGTAATAAAATTACAAGTAAGTGGTAAGCAGAAAATCTCAGGCCTTTGGAAATGGGAAAATGGGAGGGGGACAAAATTCATGGCAGAAAACTTTCCAAAGGGGTTTACCTCCCCACCCCACCCACCCCTTCTGTGTATGTATTTCTGCAGATAAACTCACATTCAAATCCTGTATTTGAAAGCTCAGCTGAGATGGACAAGAAGGTTATGCTGATTAAAAAAAAAAAATCTCTGATCAGCTTTTAGAAAGTTTGGGGTGTGTTTACTATTTTTGACAATAACTATTCTTCATTTTTATCCTGCTTTTCTCACATGGGTGGGATTCAAAGTGGCATACAAAGGTTTAAAAAACACAAATACATTTACATAAATGCATAAAATACATTTTCAACTAAAAACATCAGAAGCCATTTTAAAGGAAATAACCCAATTTGACTACAATGGAGAAATTTGTCAACAGTGGAATTTACCAAAAGCATAAGTTTATTATTATCCTGAATTATATAGGGATATAGAATGGAAAAGGCTGTTGGTATTTTGCTCCTGTTATGCCCTGATCCAAATCACACGCACATCTTTTATTAGCTTATTATTGCATCAAAGGAAATATCATATCACTATCAGGTATAAAAGAAATGTAATCCAGTCATGACTATGGGAATAGTAAAGCCCTCTTCATGATACCCAGTCCAGTTTATCCTCCAATGTCAGCTCTTTTTCAACGTTTTTGAAAATTTTCAACTGTAAAAAAGTTATAAAATGAATCATGTCAAAATGAAGGATGTGAACACTTGATTTGAAAACATTTGGATTTTTAAAGAATGATATAAAGGTAAAACCTACAAATAGATTTACATTTGGACATTTAGTTAGTCTTTATGGAAACCTTTCACTAACTTGGGTGTCTTTTCTGTTTTTGTCTTCTTATTCTCCTGCTTTTGTTATAATTGAATATAATAGTGTATAACTAGGTAGAAAAAACCCAAACCAAGTAGATTCAGGATGTTGAGGCATTGCTTTTTGAAACCTATAGGTAAATGCCTGTTTGATTTTGGAGTCTATCAAAAGGAAGCTGGAAGATGGAGCTGTTGAGTTCACTATCATCACTGTCTGATCTTTGCCACATAAAATGAACCATGAATCATTGCATCAACTTTTCTCCTCAAATATTAAGACTGTTCTTTGAACCATTGCGGCTAATGCCTGCTTTAATTTGGGGTTTTTCAACACCAGAATGGCAGCCTGAGCAGGAGAGTATCCCGCCAACAGTACTGGAAGAAGATGCTCATCATGCCTCTCGAGTCTAGTCAAGGAGAAAATCTGTGCCACAAAAAACGAAAGAAAAAGTAATAGCAGAGAGAGCCCTGTCCCAGCTGCCCGGATATGAGCTTTTGTCTGGAAACTCTTGAAATTGGATTCTTTACTTGTCATTTGACACACATGTCCACAGAGCGATGCAACAACTAAAATGGAGCACAATAAAACCAAAAGGAAGGGACAACCAGATCCAACAGTTAAAAAGAACACAAGAAAACTGTTGCCGCTTTCGTTATGTGACTTTGCTTCAGTCATGGTTGTAGCATTGGCTGAGGATGATGGTATATGCATAAAACTTAAAGTCACAATGACAGCTAATAAGGAGATAATAATAGATCCCACCAGAAGTTGGGGTATTAGCCATGATATCCTCAGTTTACACCAAAGGAAGAAAGTGTGGGTACTGTTCACGATTTTGATGCAGTAGAAGGAACATAGCAAGGCAGTGAGCCAATATCTGAATATCACAGCAAATGCAAAAAAGGAGGACCATGTCTGGAAATTTGTATAACTGTAACTGGATAAAGTTGTAAAACTGAAACAATACACACTAAGGATAATTGCCACACACACAATGGACAGAGCCAGACTTAGAAAGAGTTGTTCACTGGATACAAGTCTCCTGCATTTAGTCCATTGGGTGATCACCACAGTAACAATAAAGGCATTAGAGATGAGCCCGCTGATGTTCAAGACAGTTGTAGTTACCAAAAAAGCAATGTACTCGGCAGAAAACATATCTCCTGACCTTCTGATACTTGCAGAGGATGCTGTGCAAGGCGTTATTTATTTAAGCAAGATTGCTGAGCAGAGGCAGAAAATGCATATTGCAGACCTGCACTGTCCATTTTATGTTAATAAACCATTCATCATGCTATGCAAATTAATGAGTTTCTCATGTTGCCTATTTCCTTAGTGTTTTTGTATATTACACACTACCGACTGCTCAGGGCTTGTTTTTTGTATCAGAGGAGTAATTGTGTTCAGTTTTGATGGCTTTATGTGTGTATTTGGGGGGGGGGGTTGAATAAAAGGACCTGTTTACCTGCCTTTGCCTTGAATGCCTGCGGTAAGAAATTGCAGTAGTGTTGAGATACTACTGTTGAAAGACAGAAACCCAAAGAGAGGGCAAACAAAAGTGGTTTGCACAGACCTTGGCAGGGGCAGTCCAACTTTTATATCATGGTGATTTGTATGAGAAATGTGTAGATATAATTTTGGTGGACCCTTTCCCAGCTGCTTCACTCTACTGTTCCTGATATAGCCTCTTGTCTTCACCTTTTCTGTTCTATGCTATGAGACCTTTCCTGGCTTTAATTAGAATAAGAATCATGTACTGGACTATGAACTACATGCAGCCATTGAATCAGGGTCAGTGTGACACTTGAATCCCCCACATGACACATACCAGCTCTCCAAGTATCCTGCACCCCTCCAAAATACTTCTGCTGTTGAGAAAAAACTATCTTTATATGCACGATTGGCATAGGTTTCATCTGATGGCCTGGCCTTACTTGACTTTGACTTTGCTGACACTTGTTGCTTCCAAATACATGACAGATTGGAGCAAAGATTTTTAAAAACTCTCCCTTATCACCAACTTAATTCAATTGTTCCCTACAGGTCAGTTATTTATAGTTTATAACAATCAAGCATTCCAAGGCAAAATAAATAACAGCTCATCAAACTTTAGTCTTCAAGAGGTTAAAGCTCCAGGTAGCTGCCTGCTTTAGTTGATCTTGTTGATCTTGATCTGAGCTTTCAGGTGGGAACTGTTATTATGAAACTCTTTCATTGTCATTCTTAAAATAGGCCTATAGAGTACAGGAACAGTCAGGTTGAAAACTGGTAAAACAACAATAAACTTGCCACTCAAACCAATAAATGAGAGATTAACGCAGAAGGGCTTATATTCAATTGTATTCTTGATTTGTTTCTGTATTCTGAACTATTGGATGACTTTGGGGCCTTATGCACATGTTCCAACTGAGGATCCACAGATGGATTCCACAAAAAGACAGGGCAACAGCCGTAATATTCCCACCTTGAACGCAGCCTATGGGTCAGGTATTTCGAATCCAAGAGCTGTCAAATAGTCAATCTAATCCAGTTTAGTCATAGATTATCCATCAAAGTGAAGGGGAAAACAAGCATGTGGTCATCAGGTGGTCTAGAAGTCGTTGCAGCAAAACAAACAACTCCAGTAAGGTGTAAAATAGATTTAGACTCATAGAATCATAGAATTGGAAAAGACCTCATGAACCATCCATTCCAACCCCCTGCCAAGAAGCAGGAAAATCTTGTTCAAAGCACCCCCAACAGATGGCCATCCAGCCTCTGTTTAAAAGCCTACAAAGAAGGAGCCTCCACCACACTCTGGGGCAGAGAGTTCCACTGCCGAACAGCTCTCACAGTCAGGAAGTTCTTCCTAATGTTGAGGTGGAATCTCCTTTCCTGTAGTTTGAACCCATTGTTCCATCTCCTAGTCTCCAGGGCTGCAGAAAACAAGCCTGCTCCATCCTCCCTGTGACTCCTACTCACATATTTATACATGGCTATCATGTTCCCCCTCAGTCCTCTCTTCTGCAGGATAAACATGCACAGCTCTTTAAGCCGCTCCTCATAGGGCTTGTTCTCCTGACCCTTGATCATTTTAGTTGCCCTCCTCTGGACACATTCTAGCTTGTTAAAATCTCCCTTAAATTGTGGAGCCCAGAATTGTACATAGTATTCCAGGTGTGGTCTGACCAAGGCAGAATACAGGGGAAGCATGACTTCCCTGAATCTAGACACTATACTCCTATTTATGCAGGCCAAAATCCCATTGGCTTTTTCAGCTGCCACATGACATTGTTGGCTCATGTTTAACTTGTTGTCCAAAAGGACTCCAAGATCTTTTTCACACGTACTGCTCTAGAGCCAGGCATCTTCCATTCTGTATCCTTGCATTTCATTTTTTCTGTCTGAGTATTTTGCATTTGTCATTGTTGAACTTCATTTTGTTAGTTTTGGCTCATCTCTCTAATCTGTTAAGATCGTTTTGAATTCTGCTCCTGCCTTCTGGATTATTGGCTATCCTTCCCAATTTGGTGTCATCTGCAAATTTGATGATCTTCTAAGCCTTCATCTAAGTCATTAATAAAGATGTTGAACAGGACCGGGCCCAGGACAGAAACATGAGGCACTCCACTCATCACTTCTTTCCAGGATGAAGAAGAAACATTGGTGAGCACCCTCTGGGTTTGTTCACTTAACCAATTACAGAACCACCTAACTGTAGTTTTGCCCAGTCCACATTTGACTAGTTTGTTTACCAGAAGGTCATTGTTGAAGGCCTTACTGAAATCCAGATACACTTGTAACTCTATCAAAAAAAGAGATCAGATTAGTCTGCCCGGGTTGTGGTACAGCTGGTTGGGAGTCAGCTGCATTAAAATCACTACTTACTGAAAGGTCATGCGTTCGAAACCAGCCGTATAGCTTGCTTCTAGCTTTGCAGTCCGAAAGACAGTTGCATCTGTGCATGGAGGCTAATTTAACTAATTTATGATGCCATAAAACTCTCCGGCAGCTGTAAAAGAATAAGGAAGTACTCCATTGGTGTCCATCGGTGTCACAGCTCCCCCGGTGGCCAGAATTTGAAACATATCTCACGAAGCTGGATAGTTAAATAGCCTCTGTGTGTCTGTCTATATATGTTGTGTGCCTATAGCATTGAATGTTTGCCATGTATATTTGTGGGGTGAGAAGGGCAGAATATAAATACTGCAAATACATAAATAAATAAATAAATAAATAAATGACTTGTTTTTTATAAATCTGTGTTGACTATTAGCAATGACCACATTTGTTTCTAAGTGTTTGCAGACCACTTCCTTAATGATCTGTCAATCATAGCCAGTTTAATGTCAATCAAACCAAATGCCAGAGACTTCTCTGAGTCTCCAAAATAGAAGGGTGGTAAGCAACAAATGTGTCAGAAAGCTGCTGGGAGATATAACAGCAGCTGCTGTATCTCTGTGTTACACCAATTTGTAGTTATAATCCTCTGTCCTAACAGTAAAAAGTCATGAATTTTTGTCAATTACCGTTTGTGAACCATCTTTCCAATCAGTCTGTGAACCTTTTTTTGTCATCTCTGCATTCATTGTGAGGTTGTATTTCCTGGTGTTACATTGTCATTGTTTCTTATTTGTTGGCTGAATTGAGACATCAAATGAATAATTCTGTTCCATTTAAGGGTGGCATGCTCAAGCAGTAATTCCCGTGTAAAGAATGCAGTGTTTTCTTTTTTAAATATTTTATTAGATTTTCAAAAAAGTAACTTAAATCCAAAAAATAAAAAATCAAGATATTAAAATAGAAAGCAAAGCAAAGCAAAATAATCCAGTACAAAAATAACCATATAATATTCCCACCCTCTTACTTCCTCCCACTCATGCCAACTAAAACTAACAGATGACCACTTTCCCCTGTTAAAAATTAAAAAACAAACATCTTATCATCATCATCATCATCATCATCATCATCATTATTATTATAGAATCATAGAATCATAGAATCAAAGAGTTGGAAGAGACCTCATGGGCCATCCAGTCCAACCCCCTGCCAAGAAGCAGGAATATTGCATTCAAATCACCCCTGACAAATGGCCATCCAGCCTCTGCTTAAAGCTTCCAAAGAAGGAGCCTCCACCACACTCCGGGGCAGAGAGTTCCACTGCTGAACGGCTCTCACAGTCAGGAAGTTCTTCCTCATGTTCAGATGGAATCTCCTCTCTTGTAGTTTGAAGCCATTGTTCCGCGTCCTAGTCTCCAAGGAAGCAGAAAACAAGCTTGCTCCCTCCTCCCTGTGGCTTCCTCTCACATATTTATACATGGCTATCATATCTCCTCTCAGCCTTCTCTTCTTCAGGCTAAACATGCCCAGCTCCCTAAGCTGCTCCTCATAGGGCTTGTTCTCCAGACCCTTGATCATTTTAGTCGCCCTCCTCTGGACCCCATTTTATCTCCACTGAAGGTGATTAAGCATTAAAAACATTACTGACTTTCCCTCTTCTAAAGCAAAATCAACTATCAAGCTATTGTATGTACTTCTTGTTCTTCTTCATTATATTTTGGTTTCTGCTAAATATAGACAAATAGATTTAAAATTAATGCATAACCCGAAGTAACATTAAAATAATCAACTTAACCACTTTGAATAAAGTTAAACATTTTCAAGTATCTTTAGCTCATCACCTCAGTATTCCCTCTTTTTTGCTTTTCATTTAAATTGATCTATTAATATGATTTATTGCTGTGTTTCACAATTTTTTTCTTTGTGATATCTTATCGCATTTTCCTTTCAATCTCAGTATTCTTATTTCACCAATCCACCTCCATTTAAAAAAAATCTTTATTTGTATTTGTAATTCTGCTAGAATTCTCATTTTTATTTATCCCAATCCATTCTCAATATTCTTCTCATGCCTCGGGTCATTATTTAAATATGCTTAATGTCTTTTCCCATCTAAATTGACACCTATACATTTTGTATGGGCATTGTATATATTTTTCAATCAAGCTTGAAGACTTAAATATCTTTTCTCATTTGTTTTCTTGTAGCATTTCCCCCTCAGTCTGAAGATAAGTTCATATCTGCTCCCCTGGTTCAGTCATGTCTACACCTGACACATTGAACTGTTTCACTTCTTGTGACAATCCACATGTTTCTTTCACTCTGGTACTGTCATTGTTATTGTTGTCTTTTCCTCCTTGGCATTGGTTGTTTTCTTTGAGCAATCTGATGCATAGTGACTCCTAAAATTTGCTTGGATTCTATTTTTCTATCTTGTCTTGCTTGCTTCTGGTTGCAGTTTAAGTTAGGCCTTCCTTGATCTGCAATAAGAATGACAAAATCTAGATTTTCAATATTTTTCTGTATTTTATAAACAGCTAAATAAGAACAAAAGAAAAGATAATACAACTTTGCATCAACAAAGATTGTGATTTTTCACTGTTTGAAACTGGCTTACCTCTTCTTGGAAAGATGGACAATTTTCTTTCTCTTTCACTCATTTTAATTCTTGTTGATTTTATGGCTCTGAGTATCTTTTATGGCTCTGAGTATCTTATGGCTCTGAGTATCTCATCTTCTTCATCTTAGTAATGGGGTAGTCAAGAAATAATTATTTCTAAAGTGTTTTGTAGCTCATGGTTCAGTCTTCCTCTCCTCCAACAACCAAAGAAAGAACAGCCTCATTTCTGAACTCCAAAGAAAGAATGCAAGGAGGAGATGATAGCCAGCTAGAATGCTTGATCTTAAATCTTCTAGTCATATTTAAACAGAGTTAATTTGAGAAATAAATATACTTGCCTTTAAATTAAGGAGGGTCCCAATCTTCACTCTTTTTTACACTGATTATTCCAAAGGAAGGATGCTTTTCTTGAAGATTATCCAGCTTGAAAGCTGGGACAAATTCTGCAGAAAGGGTAAAGATGGCTGACCTTGAGATACTGTCTTTTCTGTGACCACTTCTCCCATATAGAGTCATGGAACACTAAGATAAATATTGGTTTATGTGGATAATCTTCAATCCCTCTATATAGAGAATTTTCTACCAGTCGTGAAGCCCCATTACCAGTTTTTCTCTGTAGTTTGATTTCTCTCTCACACCAAGCCAAAGTGGAAGAGAACATCAGTCCTTAGTCACACCTGAAGTCAGAGAATGTGACCTTTCAAAGTAGATAAAGTGTTTTTCCTAAATTTTCTCTGACATCCTTAATTTAGAATAATTAAGTATTTCAAGCAGAGACGCCTAAACTGCATTGGTATTTAAAATGAAGAAAGATGCTTTTAATCTTTGTACCCCACATCTGCACGTCTTCTGCTAGGAAAGGTCATTTTTGCACCAAAGGAAGAATCATATCTATATCTAGTGTAAAAGAGATCTAAAAATCCAGTCATGACAACAAGGGTAGCAAAGCTCTTTTCCTGATACCAAATCCAGTTCCTCCTATATCAACTCACAATTTCTCCAAGTTAATAATTTTATAGAATGATTCATGTCAAAATGAAGCATATAAATACCTGATCTCTTTTTTAAAAAATGCAAAGTTTGAAAGAACGATATAAAGGAACAAGAGACCAAATTGCCAATATTGCTGGATAATGGAGAAAGGCAGGGAGTTTCAGAAAAACATCTATTTCTGTTTTATTGACTCTTCTAAAGCCTTTGACTGTGTGGATCATAATAAATTGTGGCAATTTCTTGGTGGTATGGGAGTACTAAGTCACTTTATCTGTTTCCTGAGGAATCTGTATAACAACCAAGTAGCAACAGTAAGAACAGACCATGGAACAACCGACTGATTGAAGATTGGGAAAGGAGTACAGCATGGCTGTATACTCTTACCTGACCTATTCAGCTTGTATGCAGAACACATCATGTGACGTGTGGGGCTTGACAAATCCAAGGTTGGAGTTAAAATTGCTGGAAGAAACAGTAACAACCTTAGATATGCATATGATACCATTGTGGGGGCTGAAAGTGAGGAGGAGCTGAGGAGCCTTCTAACCAAGGTGAAAAAAGAAAGTGCAAAAGCTGGGTTGCATTTAAACATAAAAGAAACAAGATTATGGCAACCAGACTCATTGATAACTGGCAAATAGAGGGAGAAAGGGTGGAGGCAGTGACAGACTTTGTATTTCTAAGCACAAAGATTACTGCAGACTGCAGACTCAGACTGCAGCCAGGAAATCAGAAGATGTTTACTTCTTGGGAAGAGAGCAATGACCAATCTCGATAAAACAGTGGACTAGAGATATCATGCTGGCAATGAAGATCCACATAGTTAAAGCAATGGTATTCCCCATAGTAAGCTATGAATGTGAGAGCTGGACCATAAGGAAGGCTGAGAAAAGAAAGATAGACACTTTTGAACTGTGGTGTTGGAGGAAAATTCTGAGAGTGCCTTGGACCACAAGAAGATCAAACCAGTCCATACCTCAGGAAGTAAAGCCCAACTGCTCTCTGGAGAGAAGGATATTAGAGGCAAAGATAAAGTACTTTGGCCACATAATGAGAAGACAGGAAAGCTTGGAGATGATGCTGGGGGAAATGGAAGGAAAAAGGAAGAGGAGCAGACCAAGGGCAAGATGGATGGATGGTATACTTGAAGTGACTGGCTTGACTTTGAAGAAGCTGGGGGTGGTGATGGCCGACAGGGAGCTCTGGTGTGGGCTGGTCCATCAGGTCACGAAGAGTCGGAAGCAACTGAACGGATAAACAACAGCACAAAAAGACTTACATTTCAACATTTAGTCAGCCTTTCTAGAAAGCTTTCACTAACTCAGTTGTCTCTTCCCTTTTGTATTCCTATTCTCCTGCTTTTATTTTACTGGAATACCACAGTGTATAACTGCCCAGAGAAAACCCACATCAAGTATAGCCTTCAAGATGTAGGAAGATGGAAGATGGAACTGGGAGGTCCAACATCATCACTGTACAAAGACAGCTTCATATCTGCCTATATCCATTGTGCAAGACTAGTTATGTGCACATAAAACAAAGAATAAATAAAGAGGAATTACTGCATTAGCTTTAGTTCTCACATATTAAAGCTTTGTTCTTTGAACCATCGAGCATAATGCCTGCTTTAATTTGGGGTTAGTCAACACCAGAATGGCAGCTTGAGCTGGAGAATATGCAGCCATCATTGCCCAAAGAAATCCATCATTGCATTCTTTATATACAGTCATAGAAAAAGTCTGTACCGTAAAAAATGAAAGATAAAGCAATAGCAGAGATAGCACTGTCCCAGCTGCCTTGATATGAGCTTTTGCCTGGAAACTCCTGAAATGGGGTTCTTTCCCTGATATTTGACAGACATGTCCAAAGAGTGAGGCAACAACTAAAATGGAGCACAATAAAACCACAAGAAAAGGACAACCAGATCCAAAAGTTAAAAATAACACATCAAAAGTTGTGAGGGTGTCTTTCAATAATTTTCCTTGGGAAACCATTGTATTATTGACCATTGGGCTTTCTTGTGGTGGTATATGCATAGTACTTAATGTCACAATGAAAGCAGACAAGGAGATAATAATAGATCCCATCAAAAGTCGGGGTATTAGCCATGATATCTTCAGTTTGCACCAAAGGAAGAACGTGTGGGTACTATTCACAATCTTGATGCAGTAGAAGAAACAAAGCAAAGCAGTGAGCCAATATCTGAATATCACAGTAAGGAAAAAAAAGGAGAACCATATCTCAGAAATTAAAGAACTGAAATTATATTCTAATGCTAAACTTAAGTCAAGTACACCAATGACAATGGTCACACACCCATTGGACAGACCCAGGCTTAGAAGAAGCTGTTCACTGGATGCAAGGGTCCTGCATTTAGTCCACGGAATGATCACAGTAACAATAAAGCCATTCCAGAGGAGCCCACTGATGGCCAAGACAGCTTCAGTCACCAGTAAGACAAGAGTCGTGGGAGGAGAAGACATATTTCCAGAACTTCTGGTCCTTGCATGGGAAGCAGTTAGTCCTTCTATTTATAAAATAAACGTTCCTGAGCAGAGGTAGAAAATGCTTGTAGCAGACCTGTGCTCTCCATTTTAATGCACTGTAAATAATTCATCAAACTATGCAAATTAATGAGTTTCTCATGTTGCCTATTTCCTTAGTGCTTTTGTTTGTTGCAGATTACATAGAACTGCCTTCCCTTAACTTGATTTTTGTATCAGAGGAAAACAGCAGTTTTGTTGGCTATGTGGGGAAAAGAAGTTTGATAGAAAGGGCTCATTTCCCTGCCTCTTAAGGTAAGACATTGCAGGAGTGTGGAGATACAACTGCTAAAAGATGAAAACTCAAAGTCAAGATAAGAATAGTTGCACAGGCCTTTACAGAGGAGTCCACATTTTCTGTCTTGTTGATTTGTATGAGAAAGGTATTGACCAAACTTTTGGTAAAACGTTTTCCAGGTGCTTCACTCAACAGTTCCTGTCATGGCCTCTTGTCTACGTCTGTATCAAGTTAAGAATTGTGTGTACCATGGACTACATAGTGCCCCTGCATGTGGGCCAGTGTGACACTTGAACTCCCTGTGACACACATCAACTCTTCAAATATCCTAGCACCCCTCCAAAATAATTCTCATTAGCCTGGTGGGGCTCTCCTGTGATGGCCTGAGCCTATTCCTCTTATCACTGACCTCCTACAGGCCAGCTAGCTATGGGTTTTAAAAATCAAGCATATCAAGACAAAATAAAGTACTCATCAGAATTTGGTCCTCAAGGGGTTAAAGCTGCTGCTAGCTGCCTGCTTTGTTGGAGTGAATCAGAAGCAGTGTCATATTGACCTTGACCTGAGTTTTCAGATGGGAACTATTAAGAGGAAACACATACCTATCCAGAAAATACTGTATATCTATACATAGTTAGTAGGGCTGGGCGGTTTCGTTTCGTTAATTCGTAATTTGTTGATAATTCGTTAATTTTTTCAATTACAAAACGATAACGAACCATTCTGGAGCAATTATTAAAAAAAACGAATTTTCAAAAACGTTTTGTAAATGCTTCGTATTTCGATATTGTATTCGTTTCGTTATTGTTTTGAGGTCGTTTCGTTATTATTTCCGCATGTCTGGGCCAGTTTTATGGTTTAATTAGTGAAAAAAATTATAATATCACACCAACAGTCAACAACAGAGGGAGAGGGAAGCTTCAGAAGGTTTTGGAGGTTTTTTAGCGTATTTCGCGGTCGCGTCCGCCATTAACGAATCGATTCGTTATTGTTTCGGAAATCGATTCGTTAATTTTTTTACCATTTATGAAATTTCGTAAATATCGAACTTTTTAAAAGGAAAATTTTGTAATTATTTTAAATATCGAAACAAACCCCCCCCCCCCAAATACAAATCGATTTTAGAAACAAATTTTTCCGTTGTTACCCAGGCCTAATAGTTAGGTTGATAACTGGTAAAATTACAATAAATGTACCACCAAGACAGAAAAGTTTGTATTTAATTGTCTTCTTTGTTCAGTTCTGAGCTTTGGATTACTAGGTTCCTGTGCATATGATTTGGAAGAGGATCCACAGCCAGATTCCAGCTGGTAAGCTGCAATATCCCCATCTTGCAGGTGCTTAAAGAGTCTGCATTCCCTATTTAAAAGCTGCTGGAATTGATGTAGTGTCTCCTGATCTTTTCAAGATCCTCAAAGGATGGCAGCACATTTTCACTGCCTGCCACATCCTACTGTGCAGTAAATCCCCATCTGCTTCAATCCCCAGCTCCTCAGACGCAGAGAGGCCACTGTCATCAAGAAGCCATCAGTTCCCAGAAATCAGACTCCTTTGAGTTATGACAGGTGTACTGAGTAAGGGCTAATTCACTGACTTCCTGCCACAGAATATGCAGAGGATACAGCATAACATTTTCCACAGAAAGAAAACAAAACCACCAACCATTTCTCAGTTGAAATCTGCTTCATGGAAACATCATTCTGTTAAGCCATTCATAGAATAAGGTTGTCCAGTATTAGGAAAATCAATTATTTCACCAATCATAAAGTACAACATATTTGTTATGGTTGCATAACTTCTCTGTATATTATTGTCAACCACTGTATCTATATCTTGAACCAAGTTATTGATATAATCCTGAGCACCAAAATCAGAGGTTATGAATTTTCATCAATCGCATTTAGTAAAGCTTTTTTTCCAATAATAGCCTGTGAAACTTCTCTCTTTGTCATCCATGTATCCAACGTGAGGTTGCAATCCTTGGTATTTTAGGTCAACATGTCTAATTCCTTGATCAGACTAATGAATCCAATGAATAATTCTGCTCCATTTAAGGATGGTAGTGACAAAAGGTCAGTCCTAAACACTCAGGAAATGTTACCTTTCAGATTTGTGGCCAATTGGAAGACAAAGTAGATAAATTTCTTGTTCTATATTTTCTCTGGCAAGTGACAGATCAGTTAGGATGCAGCTTACCCTATGGCATGTGGGGCTCCTTGAATATTAGGCATTAGATTAAAAATGTTAATGACCTTTTAGTAACTTCAAAGTATATTAGAAGTTCTAATATTATACAATATGCAACTACATTTTATGCTGGCTTGCTATTTTGAATTTTTTAATTGTAACTTTTTTCCACATGTATTTTTAACTCATTTATTTCTTACAAAGATTAAATGGTAATCTTTTAGTTGTGAACAGGCCCTCTTTGTCTCCTGGCAACCAATATTTTTAAACCTAGTCTGCCACTATCTCTGCTAATCTTGATTTTTAATATATTTATTTATTTATTATATTTACTTTTATTCCACTTTTCAAAGCAGCAAACAGTGTGACATAAATACCTAAAGCAAGAGCACCTGAATTGCATAGGGCTGTGAAATGGAGGAATAGCTTTTAATACTTTGTTCCAATTATGTTTTGATTCAAATTATTTTTGCACCAAAGCAAGCATTGTACCAATATCAGGTGCAAAGGAGACATAATCCAGTCATGACTATGGAGATAGCAAAGTTGTCTTCATTATATCCAGTCCAGGTGAGCTTCCAGTGTCAATTCTTGTTTCTTTTGTAAGTTTATAAAATGTATAAGATGTTATAAATGTATAAAAAAGGCATATCAAAATGAAGACTAAAGTTTTGACACCTGACTTCTTACAAAAACTTTTGAAATGTTTGGGGGAAAAAGATACATAGACAAAACCTACAAATAGACTTAGTTTATAACTAGGAAAATTCCACATCATTTATACTCATTGAAACATTAAGGCTTTGCTGGCTGAAGCATATGGGAAAATGTGTGTTTTACTTTGGAGTTATCAGAAGCTAGATGGCAGGCAAAGCTGGCAAGTTTACTATCTTCACTGTAGAAAGAAAGAATACTTAATTTCCACCTATATCCATGGTCCAAGGCCAAATCTGTGTCATAAAACAACCCATAAGGGAAGAGGAACAATTGCATCAACTTTGGTCCTTACACATTAAGACTACTTTCTTTGAACCATCACAGCTAATGCCTGCTTTAATTTTGGGTTGTTCAACACCAAAAGGACAGCCTGAGCTGGAGAGTATATCATCAGAATTGCTGAAATAAATAATTCTTCGTTGAATCCTAAACGTGCAGTCATCATAACCACTTGTGCTACAAAAAATGAAAGAAAAAGTAATAGCAGAGAGAGCACAGTCCAAGCTGCCTGGATATGAGCTTTTGTCTGGAAACTCCTGAGATGGGAATCTTTACTTGTCATTTGGCAGACATGCCCACAGAGTGAGGCAACAACTAAAATGGAGCATAGTAAAACCACAAGGAAAGGACAACCAGATACAAGAGCTGGAAAGAACACATCAAATCTTTTGAAAGTGTCTTTCAGCGACTTTCTCTGGGTCACTGTTGTAGCATTGGCTGTGGGGCTTTCTTGAGATGGTGTATGCCTGGTACTTAATGTCACAATGAAAGCAAGCAAGGAGATGATCAAAGATCCCACAAGAAGCCGGGGTATCAGCCATGATATCCTCAATTTGCACCAAAGGAAGAAAGCATGGGAACAGTTCACAATCTTAATGCAGTAGAAGAAACATAGCAAGGCAGTGAGCCAATATCTGAATGTAATACAAAAGAAAAAAAAGGAGTACCATATTTGGAAATTTAATGAATTGACATCAGATTCAGCTGAGAAACTGAAGTGGAACAGACTCAGAGAAATTGTCGCCCACAAATTGGACAGACCCAGGCTTAGCAGAAGTTGTTCACTGGATGCAAGTCTCCTGCATTTAGTCCATTGAGTGATCATCACAATAACAATAAAGCCATTAGAGATGAGCCCGCTGATGCCCAAAACAGTTGCAGTTACCAAAAAGGCAATCATCTTGGGACAAGACGTGTCTCCTGAACCTCTGGTTTTTGCACAGGCAGCTCTGCAGGATTTTATTTATACATCCAAGATTACTGGGCAGAGGCACTGCCCATTTTAATGCACTGGACATTATTTTAACAAACCATTCATCAGACTATGCAAATTAATGAGTTTCTCATGTTGCCTATTACCTTGGTGCTTCTGTTTGTTGCAGACTACACAGAACACCTTTCCTATTGCTTCCTTTTTGTATTGGCAAAACATTCCGGGTGCTTCCTGTCTTGGTCTTTTGTCTGAACCTTTAATGTTCAGCTTTCAGACCTTTATTGGCTTTGACCAGGATACCATGGCAACTAAAAAAAAGCCAATGCAAATTTAGACTGTGTTGATAGGATTATAGCCTCTTTCTCAAAGTAAGGAATAGTACCAATCTACCCTGTTTTGGTCAGACCTCACTTGGAATAATGAGGTCTGGGCACCACCACTGTGTCTGGTTCTGACCACCACCATTCAAGAAGGATATTGAGAACCTGTAACGTGTCCAGAAAAGGGTGACCAAAATGATAAAAAGGCCTGAAAGCCAAATCCTATGAAGGATGATTTAGGAACCTGAATATGTTTACCTTGGGGAAGAGAAAGATAAGAGAGTCATGATAGCCATGTTTAAATATTTGAAGGGATGTCTTACTGAGGACATCCTTTCTGCATCCTTTCTTCTCCTCCATAAACTAAGGCACAGAGCAATGGATTCAAAATGTAGGAAAATAAATTCCACCTAAACACTAGGAAGAGTGTATCACAATAAGAGCTATTTGATAGTGGAATATGCTCCCTTGGAGTATGGTGGAAACTTCCCATCTGGAGGTTTTTCAACAGAGGCTGGATGGTCCTCTGACAGGGATGCTTTGATTGTGTGTTTCCTCATGGCAGGGATTTGACTGGATGGCCCTAGGCACTTTTCCAATTCTAAAATTTTAGAATAAGTGTAATATCAACCGTGGCCTACATGCAGTCTTTGAGAGTGAGCCAGTTTGACCCTTGAATTCCCCCCACAATCTTTAAAACTTCCTGGTACCCCTCTGAAATAACCCCACTTGCGGGGGAAAAAACATTATTTTGTCTGTAAAAGCAAAACAATACTTAAAATGATGTTTTTATGAGCAGTACTCTATAATGATGTGGGAGGGATGCCCCAAAATATCTAAATTGACCTTGAGAGATTAAATGCCTCTTTTGGTCCCTGCTGACACATAGGGAAATCCTCTGAATTTCAGAGGAAACCCGCATGGCCCTCTGACCACCACAGTGTGTCCACTTCTGTAGAGTGCCCTGGCAGGTGACTTAGCTGTCCCTTCACTCCCTATCTTTTGTTTCTTGTGTACTATAAACTGACTTCAACATATGGGAACCCTATGGATGTGGAGCCTCCAAGTCATATGGCCTTTAGCAGCCCTGTTCACATTTCGGGATCATGATTTCCTATTCTTCTGGGATGTGGACTTCCTCTTTTCCTCCTGCTTTGTACCTTACCAAGCATTATTGTTTTTAGTCAATCATGTCTTCTCATGATAAGGCCAAAGTAGAACAGTCTCAGTTTATTCATCTTGGCTGCTCATAAGAGGTCAAGCTTAATTTCATCTAGGATCCATTTACTGACAATTTTAGCAGTCCACAATATCCTCACAACTCTTGCCCATTTCAAATGAGTTGATTTTCTTCCTTTTGCCTTTATTCACTATCCAGATTTTGCAATCAAAAACAGAATTTGGAAATAAAATGTCATCGATAGCTTAACATTACTATTCAGTGATACAATACAAACCTGGTACCTGTGGAACTAGTACTGTAGTTTCACTTACGGCATCTGACAAGATATATTCTCTCTAAAAATTTCTAGATTCTCCAGGCAATTCAATGGCATGCTTCCATGGAAAATTATCATAGAATGCAATTCCTACAGAGAATAACTCTAGACATTTTCTGACTTCTCTGTGGTGATTCTATGATAATGTCTGGTGGAAGTAATTTATTTCAGTGCAATTTGCTATTTTGCACAGTATCTTGTTTCCATGGTAAGTCCAGGAATGCTTCAATTGTAGATATGGGGGTCGTACTGTATATTTTTACACTTCGGGATCTTGTCTAGTTCCTTCAGAGCTGCCCTTCCAAGTCCTAGTGTTCTACTGATTTCTGAACTGCTGTCTCCAATTTGATTCATGGTTTATTTATTTATTTATTGGGTTGTGGTAGGTTTTTTCGGGCTATATGGCCATGGTCTAGAGGCATTTTTCGGGCCATATAGCCCAAAAAAACCTACAACAACCCAGTGATTTCGGCCATGAAAGCATTCGACAATATTTATTTATTTATTTATTTATTTATTGTATTTCTACCCTGTCTCTTCTCTACCCCCAAAGGGGGGACTCAGGACAGCTTACATTTGGCAATGATTCGATGCTGCTACATATAAACAATATTTCATTTCTCTGGATTATACTGTTTTTACCATTTTTACTGCTTTGCTTTTATATATTCTTCAATAAACTGCTTCCTGATTATTGAACTGGTGTGGTGATTAAGTACAGAGGTGTTCCTGCTCTGGTATACAACAGTATACCACGATGATGAGAAAAGAAGGATTCCTCGGAAGGCTGCCATACCCGTTTAAGTGAAATAACAGCATTTTAATACTGTAGTATGATAGTCTCTTTTGATAAGGAAGAAAGAAATAGCGATAAGTTTCTGGACCACAAAAAAGAAGACTTGAATAAGATGCGAACTTTTTATTTAGACTCAAAAATGCATGTTTGAAAAGAACAAACCAGGTTAGGAAAATCTTGTATAAATAAACAACATTTTAAATTTACTAGAGACCACAGGAACGCTCTCTAGAAAACAGTCTCATTTTGGAATAACGGTCTCTGCTTCTTCCAAAATGCATCCAGGGATTACTTTTTTTTACAAGCTTCCATTTACTTAGGATTTTCATTTTAGTGGCCAGTTCTACAGCTCTCTGCTTTCTCAATATGCTGACCATAGTTGCGTGGGTAGAATAATCTATTCCTCCTTTTCTCTGTTTTTTTGTTCATACATGCACAGTAAGGGATACTGGAGGCGGCTGGTGAATACCTTGACTGCTGTAGGAAGGGAAACATGATGAAAGCAGAATTCTGCTCTTTCCCTGATCAAGCTTTGTTTATTGTATTACTAACTGTGGACAAGACACTGCAACCCAACACTGAAACTCTATGTTTCTCCAACTATCCTCCAAATACTGACCCTGCTAAAAACCATTCCAATGAGACAAATAGAAGGAGGGAAAGGGGGATGGATGGGCGTAAAACAGAAATTTCTTTTGACGGGCAGTGCTAAATGAGGTATGATTGCATTTTAATGTTATTTTTTATTTCTTTTCATTTTTCTGATAAGCTTTGGGTCCCAAACTGCATGGAGTCAGTTAGTGCATTCTCATTCAGGATATTTTCATAGTTAACTGTGGTTTATTTCCAGTCATTTGAAATCATTTGATGACACATTTTCATATAATTTAATGCTCCTTGGTTGACAGATATAAAGTTACAAATTAATTTTATTATGGCATTCATATACAACAGAACTCTGTTTAAAAATAATTTGAATAGATAATTTTCTGTCAAAGCTGTTATTTACACAAAATAAAATCAAAGGTGATATGTGGAACTGTATCTTATGCCGCCTGAAAGACCGATATTTGATTACAAACACATTTTGAATACATGGTTTTAACCAATTTTTTCCCATTTATAATTTTGCAATGAGCCATAGATATTGGCTAAATTCATACAGGTAAAATTGATAGTTGGGCTGCTTTTAGGGGAAACAAAATCCATCAATGCCTCTTGGTGACTGTCCACTTTCAGGTGGCTGAGCTTCTGGAGGTTGAACTGAATCTATTCTTTCTGATACAATTTCACATTATTATGTTATTTATTTTTAAAAAATATATTCCACCCTTCTCACCCTGAAGGGGACTCAGGATGGAGCACAGAATATATACAGGAAACATTCAATGCCAGGACATGGTATCATTAGATGCATACATAAAAATTAAAAACATTTGTCTCAATATTAAAATACACTGTTTAAAAACCGACTTGTACTTCATATTGAAAGGATATCTAGCTAATACAGAACCTCAGAACTGGAGAGGAAATGAGGTATGCATTGGAAATATTTGTGACATAAGATGACATTATCATTGTATTTTCTGGTTGCTGAATGTGTGTGACTCACCCAAGGTCTCCTGGTGGATTCCCAGTGTGAAGCAGAGAATTGAAACCTGGTTTTCATAGTCATAACCACTGCACCACACTGGCTCCCATCATGTACGTTATATTTTAAATGTATTTTGCGTATATACGAACCTCAGAACTGGAGAAGAGATGATAGAAATTTAATTTTTAGTGGTTGCTAATCATTGGAATCATTGTCCCACCTCATTCTCTGATGTCAACTTTTTAAGCAAATCTTCAGTTTCTACCAATTAAAACCTTTCTTCCTTTACAAAGAGCAGTGGCTAGAGTTTTACAAAAATCTGTGTCTTTACCACAGTTTTGCTCTATCTCCACCCCACACAAGTTATTTTTTCCCATTTAATAATCCCAGGAATAAATCTGTGGATGAACATCACACCTTGACTCTTTGAAGCACCTGAGTAGCTGCCTGCTTTAGCTTTGGGTTAACCAGCAGCAAGATGGAAGCCTGGGCAGAGGGGTACACAATTCTCACCATTGCTGCCAAGATCCCTTCGTCTTTTCCCAAGGTCACAATAATAGACAAGGTATGTGCTGCATAATATGATATGTAAAGGAGCAGGAGGGAGAGCACTGTCCAGGCTGCTTTGATGTGAACTTCGGTTTGGAGACTCCTGCCATGGATGTCTTTACCTGTAATCCGACAGACATGCCTGCAAAGTGAGGCAACGACTAAGATGGAGCAAAGTAGAACCACAAGAAAAGGACAACCAGAACCAACAGCTAAAAAGAAGGCTTCAAAGGTATTGAGTGTATGCTTCGATGTCTTCACTTCAGTTGTGTTTGTAACATTCACTGCTATGTTGCTTTGGATTTGTCTAGAAGTAAACTGTAATGCAAACGCAGAAAAAAGAAATGAGCAGAACAGAGATCCTGCTAGAAACCTGGGTATTAGCCACAGTATCCTCAGTTTGCACCAGAGGAAGAGAGAGTGGGTGCTGTTTACTATCTTGATGCAATAGAAGAAGCATAACCAGGCAGTGAACCAGAATCTGGACATGATGACAAAAGTAGCAAGAAGGTATAGTCCTGGCAACAGGAAGAGGTTGCTGATGCTGTCATCCCTAAAGGTGGCATTGATGTAAAATGGAATCAGTAATGCTGTGGCCCAGAAATTGGACACAGCCAAGCTCAGAAGGAGTTGTTCATTGGAAGCAAGGCTCCTGGATTTGGTCCATTCCCTGAGAATGACTGCAGTTATAAAGCCATTAGAGATGAATCCACCGAGGGCAAAGACAATTGCAACTACTGCGAAGGCAATGGTTGCAGGAGAGAACATATTTCTTTTTTGCCTCTAATCCTGGCTATAAAGGTGCCTTCCAATCAGTGGAAATGATGTTGAGCTGAAATGGAAATTATAGGTCCCAAGTCTGTGATGTCCTTTTTAAATCCCTTTGGAATCATGTTAATGAACCTATAATCAAACTATGCAAAATGAACAAGGCTGGCTGGTAACTCTTTTTCATAACACATGATTCTGGTACAAAGTGTAAGCAAGGAGCTGTCTCATGATTTTTTTTTATTTTTTTTTTACAAATCAGGACTGGGCAACAATCACAGCTTGAATCCTTCTCCAAATAAATATCTTCTCCAAGTTAAAAAAAAAACATGGTGAGAATCGTTGCCATTATAACAGTAAGTAGGCAGACATATGTTTACTGTGCACAAAGAAAAGCCTGTGCAAAATATAAAATAAGAGGAACATACTACTACAATGCTCAAATTTGAAAACAAATGGTTGTAAGAATTCTTTCTATCTTAAATATATATCTTACAACCAACCAGTTTCTGGACACAGTTCAAAGTGCTGGTTTTAACCTATAAAGCCCTATACGTATTGAGTCCAGGTTATTTGAAGGACAGTCTCTCTCGCCCTATGTGCCTATTAGAATTTTATATCCCAGCAACCTCTTGAGTGCATTTGGTGTGAACACGGGAGAGGGCATTTTCAGTGGCTGCTCCCAGGCTCTGAAACTCCCTCCCAAGAGAGACCAGGAGGGGTTCCATCCCTGCTGCCTTTAGTAGACTGATGAAAACATACTTCTGCCATCAGGCATATACCTGATTGGAGGTAGGCTTCTAGGGATGATGTGGGAGGGGAGGGGGGTAGTAGAATCTTAAATGTAGTATTTTAATGGCATTTCAATTATATTTTAATGTTTGTACTTCGTGACATAATTTTTTTTATATATTCATATTTTAATGTATTGGCTCGATTTTTAATTTAGATTGTGTCATGTCAGTTGTTAGGTGCTTCAAGTCTCTATATTAGAAAAAGGTGGGATAGAAATAAACATTATTTATTTGAAATTTATTTAAAACATTTATATTCTTTCCTTCTCACCCTGAAGGGGACTCAGGGTGGAGCACAACATATATACGGCAAGCATTCCATGTCGGGACACAAAATAACTATAAATATACACAAACACTAAAACCTACTTTAAAATCAGTCATTTAAAACTATGCTAGCTCCAGTAGTGGAGTGGGTTTCCTATTATTGCCTTATTTCATTATGATCATTAATGCAAAAACACAGTCTCTCAACAGCCACTAAAAACAGAACTACAGAGTATGTAATAGATAAATTATTATGAGCCAATTTCTCAGGTGTACAGACAAGATGTAGCATTAGAACACGTGACAAGAATCTTTTTCTAGGATCTGAATATAAAAATAGTGAGATATATTTTTAATCTACAAACATAGGTGCATTTCTATGATGTGTAAGGGATTCCTAAGCGTCTCTTTTTAAGGTAACCAAGAGGTATTTGTTGAAATCTCAGTTCAGTAGAGGTTTCACAAAATTATACCAAGTAGGAAATTGTACACTGGCAATAGAATTTCTAGGAGCTTGGGAACAGAAGCTTAGAAGTTTCTCCAGGGTTTGGTGCATTCCGTTGTTGTTGTTGTTCATTTGTTCAGTCATTTCCGACTCTTTGTGACCTCATGGACCAGCCCACGCCAGAGCTCCCTGTCGGCCGTCACCTCCCCCAGCTCCTTCAGAGTCAGTCCAGTCACTTCAAGGATGCCATCCATCCATCTTGCCCTTGGTCGGCCCCTCTTCCTTTTGCCTTCCACTTTCCCCAGCATAATTGTCTTCTCTAGGCTTTCCTGTCTCCTCATGATGTGGCCAAAGTACTTCAACTTTGTCTCTAGTATCCTTCCCTCCAATGAGCAGTCGGGCTTTATGATGGACTGGTTGGATCTTCTCGCAGTCCAAGGCACTCTCAGAACTTTCCTCCAACACCACAGTTCAAAGCATCGATCTTCCTTCGCTCAGCCTTCCCTAAGGTCCAGCTCTCACATCCGTAGGTTACAGGGAATACCATGGCTTTGACTAGGCGGATCTTTGTTGCCAGTCTGATGTCTCTACTCTTTACTATTTTATCGAGACTGGACAATGCTCTCCTCCCAAGAAGTAAGCGTCTTCTGATTTCCTGGCCACAGTCTGCATCTGCAGTAATCTTTGCGCCTAGAAATACAAAGTCTGTCACGGCCTCCACATTTTCTCCCTCTATTGTCCAGTTGTCAATCATTCTTGTTGCCATAATCTTGGTTTTTTTGATGTTTAGCTGCAGCCCAGCTTTTGCACTTTCTTCTTTCACCTTGATTAGAAGGCTCCTCAGCTCCTCCTCGCTTTCGGCCATCAGAGTGGTGTCATCTGCATATCTGAGGTTGTTAATGTTTCTTCCAGCAATTTTCACCCCAGCCTTGCATTCATCAAGCCCCGCACATCGCATGATGTGTTCTGCATACAAGTTAAAAAGGTGGGGTGAGAGGATGCAGCCTTGCCGTACGCCTTTCCCAATCTTGAACCAGTCTGTTGTTCCGTGGTCAGTTCTGACTGTAGCTACTTGGTCCTTGTACAGATTCCTCAGGAGAGAGACAAGGGGCTTGGGATGCCCATCCCACCAAGAACTTGCCACAATTTATTATGATCCACACAGTCAAAGGCTTTAGAATAGTCAATAAAACAGAAAAAGATGTTTTTCTGAAACTCCCTGCCTTCCTCCATTCTCCAGCATCCGGATATTGGCAATCTGGTCTCTCGTTCCTCTGCCTTTTCTAAACCCAGCTTGAACATCTGGCAACTCTCTCTCCATGTATTGCTGGATCTTGAGCATTACCTTACTGGCATGAGAAATAAGGGCCACGGAAGTTTGAGCAGTCTTTCGCATTTCCCTTTTTTGGTATGGGGATATAAGTTGATTTTTTCCAGTCTGGTGGCCATGCTTGCGTTTTCCATATTTGCTGGCATATGGCATGCATCACCTTGATGGTACCTATCCTCTAATCCTCAATTGCCCTAGCCAGCAAAGCTTAATAAGGGGGTGGCCCTTCAGACAGTTTAAGCAAAGCCATTATTTATAATGGGTCCAATCTAGGCTACCTGCAATTGATAGTAAATAGTGCTTAATCCTAAAATGAGATGTTGAAGACACTGGGGACAGGACCTTCTCAGTGGTGGCCCCCAGCCTGTGGAATGCTCTCCCTAGCAAAATTAGGTCAGCTTCATCCCTCTTTTAGAAAGAAGCTCAAAACATGGTTTTGGGACCAGGCATTTGGACAGTAGGTTTGGCAGTATTCACAATGTTTGAACTCTGACAAGGACAGGCTTTGAACTGAGTTGTCGGTTGCTAAATCAGATCTGGATCCGGCTACTTTATGAATAATAATGCTTTAATGTATTTTAATCTAATGTTTTATTTCTTGAATAATGTTGTTGTAATGTATTTTGTATGTTGTCGGCATCAAATTGCTGGTGTTGTAAGCTACCTTGAGTCTCCCTTCGAGGGTCGAGAAGGATGGGATAGAAATGTTGGAAATAAATAATAATAAATAAATATACGAGAGAGCTGTTTCCAGTCTGCCCACACCAGTGATAAAGGGTTTTAAAAGCTTCCTTTCTCCCATATGATAGTCTTTCCCTGGCTCTGCCTCACCACCCCAAGTGAGTGCTATTTTTAAAAATATAGTATACTGGGATAAAATATGTGAATGAAGGATCTAGTGTGGTCCTTGCAGGTTAGGTGACTCTTCTTGGAAGCATCTGATTAACTGCCTGGTTTAATTTGGGATTAACCAGTAGCAGTATATAAGCCTGAGCAGAGGGATATGCAATCACCACTATTGTGAGAAAGGTCCCTTCAGTTTTTCCCATAGTTATAGTCATAGACAAGGTCTGCACCATATAAAAGGAAATGTAAAGGAAGAGGATGGAGAGCACAGTCCCAGCTGCCTTGACATGAGCTTTCGTTTGGATGCTCCTGGAATAGTGCTCTTTACACTTCATCCGGTAGATGTGTTTACAGAGTGAGGCCACAACTAAGATGGAGCAAATTAAAATCACGAGAAGGGGTGAACCAGAGCCAGCAATTAAAAAGAAGATTTTAGGCACATCAACAGTACGATTCCGTAATATTTCTGTACTAATTTTTGAATTAATCATTGTCATGTTGCTTTGGACATCTCTAAGGAGAGAGAAGAACATTGAAAAAGCAATAAACAAGGAAACAACCAAAGTTCCTGCAATAAGCCGTGGTACTAGCCATGATAACTTCAGTTTGAACCAAAGGAAGAGGGAATGGGTGCTCTTGACAATCTTGAGGCAATAGAAGACACAGAGCCAAGCAGTGAACCAATGTCTGGAAAGGATCAAATAATCACTTAAAGGGTACATTATTAGATATGCAATATACATTGTGAACATGCAAAAAATATAGTCATTGATGAACATTGGAAGCACTAACAGAGTTGCCCCTAGGTTAGACAGAACCAGGCTCAGAATGAGCTGTTCACTGGAGGCAAGGCTTCTGTTTTTGTTCCATTCCCTGAGAATCACTGTAAGTATAAAGCCATTGGAGATAAGTCCACTGAGAGCCAAGTCAACAAGAGCTAGAACAAGGAGAATGAGCGGAGGTGAAGACATATTTCCTGAATGAATGTTGCAGGTTGTTTTCTGCTATAAAAAAGGCATCCACTCAGTTGATCAAAGTTGTTGAGCTGAGATGCAAAATGCAAGTAGCAGACCTGTGGGATACTTTTTAAATGTTTCAAAAATATTACTAAAAAAACCCTATGCAAAAGGTTTAGGCTGATATATAACTTCTTTCCACATGAATCAGACTATGCAAATGGTTGAGGCTGTTATCTAAATTCTTTCTACGATGCATGATACCGATACAGGCCATGGAGGTAAATATATCTGTCTCATGGTTTTCCATCAATCAGGGCTGGGCTGCAAAAAAGAAGTGTTGACATAGACCATCCCTTTATCAGGCTCAGAATTTCCTCCCCAGTATAAAAAAGAGGGTGTGATATTGTGTTGAAAGGAGGAAACATCTGGAAGAAAAGAGCAAGAGGTGGCTTGTCAGCATCATTGACCTTTGCTATTTTTTTGTTCTTCTTTGAAGTGTAGAAGCACAGTGTTTCATGATGATTTTTCACCTGCTGCACTGCAGATATAACATAATTAGATTAAAATAATTTCCATATGTTTAAGGTACTGCTCCAAAGGTGGGCCCTGAGTCAGGAATTTCTTATTCTTTAGACTCAGCTTGTGAAGCAATAACAAATGGAATGAGAGCTTGTCTTGTGGCCTTCCCAGACACAGAAAATGCACCTCACATGGGCATCAAATTCGGGAATCTTCCTCACTTCCCCTAAAGTACTTTTTGAACAAGGCCTTTGAGGCCATGCAAAAAAGGGGGAAAACACTGACAATGGAAACCCCAGTACTCTTTGGTGAGAGAAAGTTTTGGGGAGAGAAAGTTAAAGACCTTGTAAAACCACAACTTCCAGAATTCTAGCGTATTGAACCATGGCAATTCAAGTTGTGTCAAACTGCATTTATCCTACAGTATAGATGCACTCTGCTAATGAGTTTGTAGAATCGTGATGGTCACATGATGTATCCAATAAAGTATAGATGCCTTACATGCAATGCAGTGTAATGAATCAAGGGCACACTTTGCCAAGTCTTTGATTCCTCCAAGGGGAATTGTATGTTTATGTATCTAGGAGTGTGTATAATAAATACCTTATTTATGTATTTATGTATTTATTTATTTAAAATCATTTATATTCTTACCCTGAATGGGACTCAGGGCGGAGCCCAACATACAAACAGCAAACATTCAATGCCGGGATTGATCACCCTATAATAGTACCAAAATGTCTGCTCATTTCCCACTTCATTTTTCCTGACATTCTAATATTTAAGAATGCTTAAGTGAAGTGTTTATGTAAATCAGATTATTTGATTCAACAATTAGAGTAGAGAATTTTAAAGGCCAGAAAATGATAACAGGTGATTTCAAACAGAATCCAGATTAATTGAGAAGAGGTTGCCACCATGTAAACACAGCTTTGGTTTCCAGAAGTGAAAATCAACAAATATCAATAATAATAATAATAATAATAATAATAATAATAATAACAATCTTACAAAAAAAAAAAAACCTCGGCTATCAAATGTCTCAGAGATCTCACAAAATTTCACATCTGCTGTACATGGATGACCTGAAGCTGTATGGGAAAACCGAAACTGAAATCCAGTCTCTGACTAACACTGTCCGAATCTTTAGCACGGATATAAACATGGAGTTTGATTTGGACAAATGTTTGACAGTGGCACTGAAGAAGGGAAAAATCATTGAAAGTGAGGGCATAAATATGCCTAATGCCCAAGCGATAAAGTGTCACCAGCCAGAGACGTATAAATATCTGGGCATACTATAGCTGGACAACATCAAACATGAACATTTGAAAACTGTGGTCAGCAAAGACTACATTCAATGGGTCAGAACAATTCTCAAAAGCAAGCTCAATGGAGACAACACCATCAAGGCCATAAACACCTGAGTCATACCTGTCATAAGATATACTGCTGGCATCATAAACTGGACGCAGGCAGAACTGGACAATTTGAACAGAAAAACTAGAAAACTCATAACCATTCATAATTCATTACATCCTTGCAGTGATGTTGACCAGCTCTATCTGCCTAGAAAGTCTGGTGGCAGAGGACTTTTACAAGTCAAACAAGCAGTTGAAGAAGAAAAACACACTCAGGCAGAATATGTCAAGGAAAGCCAAGAACCTGCTTTAATTGAAGTCAATAATCGGAAACTTCTCAAAGCACAGCAGACAAAGAGTCAGTACAAGAAAACTGCACTCCAAACCAGAGCTGACAGCTGAAAGAACAAAGCATTGCATGGGCAGTTCCTTGACAAAATTGAAGGAAAAGTTGAGAAGGAGAAGACCTGGTTATGGTTCACGAATGGAATTCTGAAGAAGGAGACAGAAGAAGGCCTGATTCTTGCAGCCCAGGAGCAAGTCATCAAAACCAATGGAATTAAGGCCAAGATCGAAAAATCAGCTGGTGACCCAAAATGCAGACTGTGCAAGGAAGCTGATGAAACCATGGACCATATCCTCAGCTGTTGCAAGAAAATCACACAGACAGACTACAAACAAAGACACAATTCTGTGGCCCAAATTATTCACTAGAACTTATGTCACAAGTACCACCTGCCAGCAGTAAAGAATAGATGGGATCATAAACCTGCAGAGGTCGTGGAAAATGAACATGCAAAAATACTGTGGGACTTTCAAATCCAGACTGACAACGTTTTGGAACACAACACACCAGACATCACAATTGTGGAAAAGAAAAAAGTCTGGATTATTGATGTCGCCATACCAGGTGACAGTCGCATTGAGGAAAAACAACAGGAAAAACTCAGCCACTATCAAGACCTCAAAATCGAACTGTAAAGGCTCTGGCATAAACCAGTACAGGTGGTCCCAGTGGTCATTGGCACACTGGGTGTCGTGCCAAAAGATCTCAGCCGGCATTTGGAAACAATAAACTTCGACAAAATCATGATCTGTCAACTGCAAAAGGCCACCTTACTCTGATCTGTGCGCATCATTCGAAAATACATCACACAGTCCTAGACGCTTGGGAAGTGTTTGACTTGTGATTTTGTGATACGAAATCCAGTATATAGATCTTGTTTGCTGTGAAATACTGTGCTTTTGTGTCAGTAAAACAACAACAACAACAACAACAACAACTTTATTTTTATATCCCACTCCATCTTCCCAAAGAACTTACATGGGGACAAACCCGAACAGCATAATAAAAATAGCGCATTAAACTATATAATGCCAACATAAAACAGAATAAAACAATAACAATATAACAAAATATAAAAGCAAAACATCAACCAACAACTAATGAGCTCTATGATAACAATCATAGCACTAAAACAAATTGATCATAATGCCTTAGTACCTGCTGGGTTTTTGGTCGGGGACCCCCCTATAGATAGAGAATCTGTAGGTTCCCTAGTCCTGCTATATATAGTGGCTATATATAGTGGCATTGATGTTTCCATTATATAAAATGGAAACATCAAAATATTTTCAATCCGAAGATGGGAAAACCCATGAATGCAGAAGCTGCATTTAATTAGTTAATAAATGCTAAAACATCTTAGCACTTTGACTGTAACTCCTGAATAATGGCTCTGTGGAAATAGGTGAAAACATTTTCTGAAAGGTTGAATGGGACTAGATGTGAAACATGAGTGATGCTGGATAAAGGGAAGTACCTTGGGAAGTCTGATTTAGCCACGGTAGTCCACGCTCTGGTTACATCCAGTATAGACTACTGCAACGTGCTCTATGTGGGATTGCCTTTGAAGACCAGAAGCTTCAAATGGTCCAACAGGCAGCAGCCAGGTTATTATCAGTAGCGGTGCTCAGAGAACACACCTCCTCTGCTGCGCCAAACTCCACTGGCTGCCAGTCTGCTACCAGGCACAATTCAAAGTGCTGGCTTTAGACTTTAAAGCCCTAAACAGTTCCGGCCCAGCTTACCTGTCTGAATGTATCTCTCCCTGTGAACCATCTAGGTCTTTCAGTTCGTCTGGGGAGGCTCTGCTCTCGGTCCCGCCTCCTTCGCAGATACGATTAGTGGGAATGAGAGACAGGGCCTTCTCAGCGATGGCCCCTCAGCAATGGAAAGCCCTTCCTAGGGATATTAGATCGGCCCCATCCCGCCAAACATTTCAAAAAAGAGTTGAAACCTGGCTTTTTGAGCAAGCATTTGCAAATGCAGTGTAACTGGCTAATTTAGATCCACGGAACGATTGGACGATGCAACTGGAAAATAATTTTAGTAATGAGACTCTGAGGACTTGTGTTTTATTGTTCTTATTGTTCCTATTGTTTTTATATGATTTATATTATATGTTAATGTTTTAAATTATATTTTATGTTGTTGGGGGCATTGAATTATGCCGATTGTAAACTGCCTTGAGTTGCCTTCGGGCTGAGAAAGACGGTATAAAAATACATTAAATAAATAAATACATTAAATAAATAAATAAATGTAAAGGAAACCTGACATTTAAGGAAAGAGATTGAGCGCATCTCACGAAAAAACAGGTACTGTGCTGGTACAGCTGTACCAGGAGCTCCAATTCTATTTGCTTGGCATTAAATGTTTGTTTGCAATCCCAGGCTTGGGATTTTGCAGCAGGGTGGCTTCCTGTTATAGTTTGCAATCATAGGGCAAGCCACCTGTCAATTATAATTAGGTTCCCTGGTCCCGCCCCTTTTTGAGTTTTGGAGGGAATAGGAGCCTTTTTGAGTCAGTCCACACAGAGA